CAGGAATAGTAGTTGGACATGGTTCAAAGAGCAATCAAAGGACAATAAAATTTAAGTATAAATAGATGTATACTGTCATGAGTTTAAAGCTACTTATGATAAACAAATGTAGTTTCATGTTACAATTTGAAGTAACTCTAGTGAGAAAAAATGGTAATTTAGATTGTTTTTGTTGAAATTGATCACCAACAAGACACAGACACCTACTGTAAACAATCCAACTCATACATAGGTAAAAAACTTGACAAAGAACTTTCTTTGTAACAAGCTAAAAAAATTCTGGGAGGTTCCTTTAGAAGCTTTTTTGTCTTTCAAATCCAGACTTCTAAAATTTTGTGGCTCAGTCATTATGAAGTGACAATTTTTTCAACAATTCTCTAGTGATACCAATGAGATCTGCATCCATAAAAATTAATCAGTTTAGCATCCTGAAATTCTTTGGGAAAAGGTTCGATTTCTCTATAAACTGAGAGAAAAACTGTGCTTTGGAGATGAAGATGGGAATTAACAGCTTCACAAACACTGTCATATGACTTTAATTTTGTTGGATTTTTCCAGACACTAACATATGTTGCAATATCAATCAGCAGGTAGAAGCACTCTTCCACAACACTGACATTCTTCAGCCATTGGTGCTTACAAAACTTTGAGGGAAGGTCCAAACATCCAGTCTCACTTCTGAAGTCATCAGCTTTGGCTGGAGAATCTTTGAAAAAATATTTGAAATTTGCCAGTCTATCTACAAATTTCCAGTAAGCTGCTATACACAGATGTCTAAAATCATTGTGAATTTTTTGTAAACCATAAGATCCAACTTACAATAAGTGTTTTTTTGGACTGAGTTTATTAGCTTCAACTGATAACATTTCATGTAATTGCCAATCAACACGGATACCTGCAATAAATTCTTAAAACCGAGGACTGTGATGACAAGGAATAACTTTTCCAATAAATCGGTGGCAGTAAAATGTTCCAAGAACTATGATTTAATTTATTTTGTATGGACAATTTTTTCACCCCAATGTGAGCATGAAAATTACACTGCTTCATCTTGAGGGACTTGTTTAAGTTCTCATGAAACAAAAGAATATACCCATAAGAGTTCTGGATTTTCTGCTTCAGTATGGAAGTGAAATATGAAACTAGTCCAAGTATGATGTTTTGTTTTCCCCACATGAAACCTTTAGAGCAATTTCACTGTTGAGGAATATACTCTTGAAAAGTTATGGGATCCTTTCATTTCAATGAACCATTCTCAAAATCCATAAAACTTTTGATCTGAAAACATCATCAGAAGAAACAAATGACCAGATGGTGGAAGACAAACTGATTGCAGTCACAGTGGTAGTTTGGTTTTTTTAAGATGGGTGGTTTCTGTTCAGAAGGTTTGGAGAATATGCATATAATAGTATTGTTACTTGATATTGCTTTCAATGTCTCCACATTGTCTGCATGTTTCTTGCTTGTAATATGACTACAGAAAGCTACATCTCACATGTTGCTGATGTCAAATGAATTTTGCATGGGTTTATGTCTTGATTTTCTAGGGTGTGAATCTCTTTCTAACCATTCTTAGTAGTTTTTATTTGAAAACCAGCTTTTTCTATAACTACACTTGACTGACATATTGCAAACCTGCAGGGGGGATGGAAATAAAAATGAAATTCATAATACAATGTCCATTTGATTAATTTATATAGGTCTTTTAACATTATATTCAATACTCAAACATATTAAGTTATTATGTAATGCTGTTAATTTTTTACATTTGGTAGAATTTATTACATAATATTTATCATAAGATTTCTATTGAGTTATATCTTAAATATTAAATTAAATTAAAAATTACATATTGTTACTTATTCATTAGGAATCCTTATTTTTTTATTAAAATATAAATGTAATAGTATGCATCACTGTAATTCTGCTATTATTGTTTACATATGTGAAGCCTGTTTTAACAGGATTCCTAAAATTTCATAGAAAATTCCTTACAACAAACTAGCAGATCTACACATAGTGTGAATAAAATTGCCTTTAGACTGATTCTGTACACAACAACCCATGTTTGGTTTGGCAACTCTAGATATCCAATACATTCTTAGGCACTGTATTATTTTGGAAATTGTTCACTAATTTCAGGTCTTAATGCAGAAATGCAAACATGGGCAAATAGGTTTTCATAGTTACTGTAATATAACAAGATTTGTGTCACACATGTGGTGGTGCACAAAAAACCTGATTTTGTAATAAAAGATAATATATTTTCAACGTCTCAAATTTATGGATGATTTTAGTTACACTGTACACCTAATAAAGAATTAAATGAAAAATTTATTGGTGTGATTTATAACATATATTACTTCAACAAATACTGGATGCTGATTTATAATGAGATGTAACTTAGCGAAAATTAGACTTAAGCCTAGTGCTAACAAAGAACAATATGTGGCAACAGATAAAATATGTAACAAAAAATGTATAATTTACTATTAGATCTATATCTGAATCCTGCAAAGACTTCAAGTCCAAGTAAAATTTATTCACATATATTATTTAGACATATGCCTATAGACACAAGATTGCCTACAGAAAAATCGGCTAACTTCACTAAAAACGAGTGGCACAAACAAACCTCTAGATCAATATTTCTCAAACTGGGGTTTGCAAGTCATGTCTGAAATTTCATAAAAATATTTGTAAAAAGTATAATTTATAAAATAAAAATTATGTTTCATAAAAATAAATTAATGTGAATCAAAACATTTATGTACACAATGCTTTTTTTTTCAAAACAAAAAAAAACTTAAGTTTTAGGGTTCGCAAAAAAATTAAAAAGGGTTCTTAGATTACTAAGGTTTGATAACCACTGCTCTAGATCCAATATTTAATATATTTTCTGTTTAATCTTTGAAAAACTAGATTTAACACTAAATCTATACCAAGATCTATTAGATCTGTTAAATGTAATACTCATTCTGCTTCTTACAGAACATGCACAAGCAATTAGGCCTAAGCCTAATGTTAGAAAATTAGGCCTTTAGCAATAAATGCTTGGCCTATATCAACCTGCATAGACTTAACTATGTGCCTATAGTTGTAGTGACTTAACAATATATTTTGTTATAATGCAGATTCAGTTAACAAATTAGACCTAGATACTAACATTATTTGTGTTGGGAATGATTTAAGATCTAGCCTATGCATACATGCCTAGAAATCCGAAAGAGTATAATATATTATGAAAAATTGTAGCCTTTTAATACAAATATTATTTTTATCATCTAATAGCTGAGTTTACAATGTTTAACAAAGTATCTAAAAAAACAAAACAAAAAACTACTTACCAAGCTAAACCATGGTATCAACAGATTGGTTAAAACATAGTGATCATGTTCTTGGACTTTTGCAGCATTTCAGATGTCAGTTGATAATGTGCATGTGTGCACACCACAGAACAGTCCATTCAACTGATAACTGATGTTTTCAAACTTTTACTTATCTTTAAACTTCATAAATATTTTGGGGTAAGCTCATGTAAATTTCAAAACTTTTTCAAAAACCTTTCAGACTTTTCAATAATATTCACATGTTTGGAAAAGATGTTCAAAAATCTTAAAACTTTTAAAGAATTTCCATTCTGAACAGTCATCTGTCTGAAATAATTACAGAAGTGATCCAGACCTCTCTTGGATACACCCTTAAATGTCAAGGGAGACATCTGCTTAGCCTTTACTTACAAGAATCTGTGTGGTTGTCATAAGCCTTTCTCCCCATGGATTCACAGCAAACATCTGGCTATGATATCCTAAACATTTGCAGTACAATGTGGGGTATACTCAAGGACCCCAACACTCAATGACTTTTTTGACCATGTGTTATGTGAAAACTGCATAAATACAGAAATAACTGATAGATTTAGAATAAAATAATACTATATGAAAATACAAAGACAGAAACTCATGGTATGTTAATATACCACAAATACAAATTTATGCTGCCTGTTAATATAATTGATACAATACATTACTATTATTCACATCTGTACCTTACCTGTACTGCATGGTATTAACTGCTACCGACATATGACGAGGTTGTTCAGGACAGGTATACAAGTTACGATCATCTTCTGGGATAAGGTCAACATCATGAAAAATGAAACAGTCATAGCTGTACTGCTTTAAGGCCTCCACATATCCAATGTTCATCAACATTGCTCTATTAAATCGATTACTTCCTGCCTAGATCATTAATAACATTTATTAGATTTAATAAATATTTTTTTATTGTAAATAATCAGACTAAAATAGTTTAAAGTTGTGTTTGAGCACTTTTTCAGAGTTATGTAGAAGTAAGTACAGCATCAAATGCTACTAACATACAGTCTTATGCTAGAATTAATCATGTATAATAAATGTGCAAGAACTATTTTCAATAACATTTATACTCTAACTTTTACCATACGTGATAAAAGAAAAAACAAATTTATCAACAATATTCTATAACCTTAACTACATGAAGAAAATTATAAAGATCCTAAAACTAACAGACTAACCTGTTCAATCACATAAATTCCATAGTCAATATGTTGCCTCATCAGCATTGGATGAATATTGTGTAGAAAAATTCTTAAATGTTCTTCCCGATCCCGATAGGGAATGATGATAGCAACCTTATAGCGAGGACGACATTCACTTGGTTTAAATCTTCCTCCTGGTTGTAGCTCAGGATATAATGATTCAAGTTCTTTAAATGTTGGGCAATCTTTCATAACTTTAAGTCGACCCACTGAAACAAAAACAAAAAAAAACTTAAAACAGCTGTGTTATCAAACTTGGCCACCTAAAACAACTTCAGTACAGTCAACAGTTATTTTTTGCAATAAAATCTTCAACTTAATTCCAACCTAAGATCTATCCCCCTGAGAAAATTAAAGACTGTTATACTGAAATTCAAAAACATTTCATAAACCACTAAAAAAAATTTCCCAACTCTTCATAATTTTAACAGACTCTTTAATATGTAATCACAACCACAACTGACATTAAATAAACCCATGAGAGCACTGAAGGGCTACTACAGTACACTTACACTTTAAAATAGCTTCTTAACTCTTTCAACCCGAGCTCAGTCCGTGGGACCAACCTCATAACCATTTTGTGCTTGTTAAAGTTTACATGCTATAACTTTTAAATAAGTAAGCAAATGTTAACAAAATTTGGCAGTTTATCAGTAAACATTACAATGCTTTCATACGCAAAATATCAATTTTTTTTTATTAAGCCTTAAGGTTTGTAAAGCAAAAATTTCTCTCATGCTTTTTTTTTTCTTTTCACATCTTGCCTATCTATCATGCAAAGTAATTTTCATATTAACATTAAAAATACTTTTATGCATCCGAAAATTGCAAAATTTCACATGCGAAATCTTTATAATTTCCAAATAGTTAACAAATGTTTCTTTAGAAAGACCTTTATATTTTATCTGTTATTTTCAGTAATTAATCTCTGTACGGGTTCGGTAAATTTGACTGATCTCACAACCACCATAAAAAATTAGGAAATAAACATAAATTATGCATATTTAATTCTAGAATTAA